AATGGCTTCATTTTGTCGATAGGACTTGCAGCATTATAACAAAGATTCACATTTCTGGAAAAGATAATATCATTGCTAATGTATAATCAAGAAGGTAATGATGTTGAAATAATTTGGAGATTATGAAGGTGGCAAGTAACTGTTTGATTTTCATATATTAAGTGAATGTTTTTATTTCATCATAATTATATACATTATTGTACATGGTGTTTCATTTCCCAAGGATAGAGGCATGGTGGGAATACATATTATTTAAGGATTATGTGAAAACTAGAAGATATGGAACAGTTTGGACATTTGGATTGAAAAGGTTGTGGTTTCATGAAATAAATCAACAGTTTAATGTATGCCATGGTTTACTTGCTGTTTGCAGAAAGTCAAGTGACTTTGGAGAATAGGCAAACAAAGATTTCAAATAAGAGATGTGGTTTATGACCATTAATGGGTGGAAAATATGACTTTGAAAAGACTCCTGGCCCTTCCATGTTAATGGGCACCTAGCAATCTTTTCTGGTCTATTGACAGACATAAGAAATCAGTGGGGAAAAGATCTCAAGAACTGCAAGTCTCTCACCCTCTCAGTAAAAATTTTTCATAACCTGAAAACATTTCTAAATTTAAATCTTTGACAACCTAAGAAACGCTGAAAATCTAAATTGTGGCCACTTTCCAAAAACTTGGGTCCAGCTTGATTTCATCATGGGCTGAAGATCTTCCATCAGTCTACAGCTGTCAGCGGTTTGAAGTCATGGACAGAAAATGGTAGACTGTGAAAAGTAAACAGATTCTATCCTTTGTTTTCAGACACTGATCTGACCTTTTTATCCTTTTGCCTTTTTAATTCCCTCTCTAACAGCTTTTTTTCCCCTCTATTCATTTGTGGGATGTGGATGTCGCTGGCTGCCCAACATTTCTTGCCCATCCCTAGTTGCCCTTGAGAAGATGGTGGTGAGCTGCCTTCTTGAACAGCTGCAGTCTCCTGCTGTGGGTTGACCCACAATGCTATTAGAGAGAGAATTCCAGGATTTTGGCCCAGCGACAGTGAAGGAACGGCAATATATTTCCAAGTCAGAATAGTGGTGGTGTTCCCATATGTCCAATGCCCTTGTCCTTCAAGATGGAAGTGGTCATGGGTTTGGAAGGTGCTGTCTGAGGATCTTTGGTGAATTTCTGCAGTGCATCTTGTAGATAGTACACACTGCTGCTACTGAGTGTCAGTGATGGAGGGAGTGGAGGCTTGTGGATGTAGTGCCATTCAAGCGGGTTGCTTTGTCCTGGATGGTGTCAAGCTTCTTGAGTGTTGTTGGGGCTGCACTCATCCAGGCAAGTGGGGAGTATTCCATCACACTCCTGACTTGTGCCTTGCAGATTGTGGACAGGCTTTGAGGAGTCAGGAGGTGAGTTACTTGTCACAGTATTCCTAGCTTCTGGCCTGCTCTTGAGTTTATATGGTGAGTCCAGTTGAGTTTCTGGTCAATAGTAACCTTAAGGATGTTGACAGTGGGGAATTCTGTGGTAGTAACACCATTGAATGTCAAGGGGCAGTAGTTAAATTGGCATTTATGCGGCATGAATGTTATTTGCCACTTGTCAGCCCAAGCGTAGATATTGTCCAGATCTTCTTGTTTTTGAACATGGACTGCTTCAGTATCTAAAAAGTTGTGAATGGTGCTGAACTTCATGCAATCATCGGCTACCCTCCCTACTTCTGACATTTTGATGGGGGGAAGATCATTGGTGAAGCAGCTGAAGGGCCGAGAACTACCCTGAGGAAACTCCTGAAGAGACGTCCTGGAGCTGAGATTACTGACTTCCAACAACCACAACCATCTCCGACGTGCCAGCATTTGTCCTGCTTTTTTTGTACAGGACACACTTGGGCAATTTTCCACATTTTTTGGTAGATGGTAGTGTTGTAACTGTACTGGAAGAGCTTGCCTATGGAAGCAGCAAGTTTTGGAGCACAAGTCTTCAGTACAACAGTGGAATGTTGTCAGGGTCCATAGCCTTTGCAGTATCCAGTGCCTCCAACCATTTCTTGATATCATCTGGAGTGAATTGAATTGGCTGAAGACTGGTGTCTATGTCTAGGTGTCTATGATGGTGCAGACAGTTGGAGGAAGATCATCCACTTGGCACTTCTGCCTGAAGATTGCTGTGAATGCTTCAACCTAATCTTTTGCACTGATGTGTTGGATTCTTCCATCATTAAAGATGGGGATATTTGTGGAGTCTCCTCCTCCTCTGGTGAGTTGTTTAGTTGTCCATCACCATTGTGACTGAATATGGCAGGAATGCAGAGCTTAGATGTGACCCATTGGCTATGGATTTGCTTAGCTCTATCACTTGCTGCTCATGCTGACTGGTGTGCAAGTAGTCCTGTTTGGTAGCTTCACCAGGTTGACACCTCATTTGAATGTATGCCTGGTGCTACTCCTGGCATCCCCTCCTGCACCCTCCATTGAACCAGGGTTGATCCCCTGCTTTGATGGTAATGGGTTGAGTGAGGGATACACCAGGCCATGAGGTTGCATATTGCGCTGGAGTACAATTCTGCTGATGTTGATGGCCTGCAGCACCTCATGAATGCCCAGTCTCGAGTTGCTAGATCTATTCAAAGTCTGTCCCATTTAGCACAGTGTTACTGCCACAAAACACGACGGAGGGTATTCTCAGTGTGAAGGCAGACTTCATCTCGAAAAGGACAATGCCGTAGTCACACTTAACAATGCTGTCATGGACTGATGTATCTTCAGTCAGCAGAGTGGTAAAGAAGAGGTTAAATATGTTTTTGCCTCTCATTGGTTCTCACCACCTGCTGCAGACCCAGCCTAGTAGCTATGTCCTTTGATCCCTTGTCACAGTCAAAGCTTTCTCCAATTGTTGTTCAACATGGAATACTGACTAATCAGCTGAGGGGGGATTCCCTCCCCACTCCAAACCGCTGTTCCACCATCTCTACTGGGTCTGTCCTGCTGGTGGGATAGGAAAACTCCATGGCTGGTGTTGGTGGTATCTGGGACGTTGTTTGTAAGGTATGATTCCATGAGTATGTCAGGCTATTGCTTGACTGGTGCATGAGACAGCTCTCCCATTTCTGGGATTAAGAAGGACTTTGCAGAGTTGACAGGGACATTTCTGCTATTGCCTTTTCCGGTGTCTAGGTCGATGCCAGGTGGTCCTTTCAGTTTCAATTCTTTGTTGAGACTTCATAACGACTGATACAACTGAGTATTTCAGAGGGTCAACCACATTGCTGCGGCTCTAGAGTCACGTGTAAGCCAGACCAGATGAGGATGGCAGATTTCCTTCCCTGAAGGGCATTATACATTAGTGAGTCAGATAGGTGTTTCCAACAATCAACAATGGCTTCATGATCATCAGAAGATTCTTAACTCCAAATCCTTCAAAAACTCCAAATCCACGGCAGGATTCAAATCTGGGCCCCAAGACTTTAGTTAAATTTCTGGATTAATAATCTCGCAATAGTACCACTTGGTCATCATCTAAAGGCTTGGTAAAAGTATCTTTATCTGGTTGGCAAGGCGTAACTAATTGGGGGGGGCGGGGGTGCACAGGATTCAGTGCTTGGGCCCCAACTACTTACAATCTATATTAATAATTTGGAAGTAGGGATAGAAAATACTATGGCCAAATGTGTAGATGGCACTGAAACAGGTGATAAAGTAAGTTCCAATGAGGAACCTTCCAATGACCCTTCCTCACCGGACCCAAAACGTTAACTCTGATTTTTTTCTCCACAGATGCTGCCAGACCTGTTGAGCTTTTCCAGCCATTTCTGTTTTTGTCAGTGGAGACTTTGCCTAGTTGCAATGAGACGAGGCATTGGGCAGAAGGGTATGAGATTCCTCAATATTTTGAATGTCTCTTTCAGGAAATGAAGTAAGGTGTCACAGTTTAGGCATTTTAAATACTACGTTCATACACACTGATGATACTGAAGAGTAGGAAGTGCCCTTCCAACCAAATGTTGGATATCTTAGGTTACATATTCCAGGGTTAAGGAATGAACATATTTTGCTTTAATTTCTGTAATATCCTTGGAGTGTGGTCTGAAAGACAAAAAAACTTTACACTAAAAATCTGATTAACTGACCAAAAACCTACAGATTAAACATATTAATATGATTTTCTTAGCATTAAAAAATCCTAAGAATTTCAGAGGTCAGTTGCCTTTGTTTCTGAAATGGTCAGCAACTAAAATTGGTGAGATCAAAGACACTTAACTGTCCATTTGTATTTTTGTCATGATCTATACTCAGGAAATAATTGGATCAAAGTTTTCTTGATGGCAGGACAGTTTCTATTTAAAATGCTGTTGTAGGCCAATCTACACAGCTGGGGAAATGGACAAATTGGAGTTCATCCAGAGATTTTGATGGAACTCTTAGCCTGGAAAGAGAGTTAATATCTCAACTTTAACAGCTGTATTACAAAAGTCTTATTTTGGCCCACATTAGCTACAAAAATGTTATTGGGTTCACTGCTAAAAATCAAGATGGTCAATGAACAAATTACCAAAGTATAGTATTACTTTGAATGCACTTTTATTCATAAGTCTTGCAGACTATAAATTACAAAGTTCAGATTATGTGCTAAATGGCTGCATCACCAGTAATTATTGTATTTTTATTTCTATATGTTTAAAGTTGAATATAATCATTTGTTAATGCGATACTTTTTAGTCTTTGTTAGCAAGAAAACGTGGAGGTTCTCTCTGTAACCTCTAATGCAATGATCGTGGTTAAGAGATAATTAGTTGTTCAACTAGAATAGTGTCCTTCTCAGAAACTACATCATGTTGCAGTTTTCAGTTTCATTGGATGTGCAATTTGTCCCTCTGCCATAGAATGGGGTTGGGTGAAATATTGAATTGTAAGTGATTAAGGAAAGATTAGAGAAGTTGGATAATATACTAAAATGAGTTGGAAATTAGAACAATATAGTAAGATATATCCAGAAACTTTCAGGACGTCACCTTTCAGTTGCAAGTTTTTTTTATTGGTTTTTGAATCTCTTACAATCAATGATAACAATCTCATGATGAACACATGTTTGAAGCTTTCATGATTCGTCTAGTTTCCGAAGAAGAACCACTGTTTGGATGAGAGGACCATTTGAACTCTACGGTCTTGTCAGAATTTTGTGGCCTTTTCTCTCAATTTGTACCTCCCCAGAGATAAGAGCAACTTAATAAAAAATCAGAAATTAAAACTGAAATAGGTCAAGCACCAACTGTACAGAGAAACATAATTGATGTTTCAGGTCTAACATTTACGATCACCTTTCATCAACAAAGAGAAAAATCTGAAACAGAGTTTATGGCCAGAAATTTTTAACTTCATAGTGAGTGCAGAAGATAGTGCCCAAGCAAGCAATGAGCATGTTGTTTCTTAGGCTTACGTTAAGAAATAACTGATTTGGCCTTTCACTGGAACACTGCAGCAGGTAAGTGAGACAACAAGGTGCCGAGCTGGATGAACACAGCAGGCCAACTCTCTCGTACAAACCTCAGCAGGTATGTGATCTTGGGTAACTTTCTGAAAGACGCTGCACAACCTGGGGATCAAAGTCAAAATTGTTATTCAAGTCTTCAACAGCACTTTCCTAGCAGTCCTGCCACCTGGCAAATTGTTTCATAATTCTTTTAAAACTAAATGTTTTTAACCCTGATGGAGTTTCAAATCCTTCCTGTCAGCCCGGAGGACACTTAGGTCATGGATAAAGTAGGAATTAAGGAACTTGAACATATCATTAGCAATGTTCAATGATACAAGAACATCACTTCGCCATTATTGTGGTCACTGTTTCTGAGCTCAGGCAATTCTGTTAGATCCACCTACCGGCATACAGACTTTACTTTGCCATGAGCTCAGGTTTGGTTTAGATTTAGACACAGTTACGCTCTAACGAAGCCCTGAACACATTATCGGCTGTACTTTCTTTCCAGAATCTTCAGGCTGGCCCGCCGCCAGGGCCCGTGGGATACAATCGGAGATAGGAACTACACCTCCCAGTAGGCATCGCGAAACCCTCCGTGGATGCGGTATAAACGTCGAGCAGCAAAGCATCCCGGATGTATGGAGCTGCGCCCAATGTAAACAATTCCCCGTTTTTGTGGAGCAATACCTGACTTTTCGGACTGAGGAATGTATTTTGGGCCGCTAGTCCGCACGGTCCCCTGGGAATTTGTAGGAAACGTCATTTCCTGAACAGTTTACTACAATTCCCATTAGGCAACACGAGCAGCTGTCCCGTGTCCCGTATCCTGGTTGGTGGAGGTTGGTGCCAGTCATAGGCTGATAGACGTGTGTTTCCGGTGTGTGGTCGAAGCCCTCCTGCTGCGAGGGAGTTGAGATGAAGTGGTAGAAGCGGAGCGCGAAGGGGAATTTACAGCGTTAGCGTGAGGCCCAGAGTGGAGAAGAGAAAGGCACAGCGCGCTTGCAGTCATGGAGCAGGAGTTCGCGGAGATCGATAAACAGGGCAACTGGGCGATGCTTTACCAGGTGAGGGTGGTACGAGTGTCCGGGGTCGCGAGGGCGAGTGAGCGAGGCTCGGGAGTTCCCCCCCCACCCCCCCCCCACGTCCCGATCAGCCCGGGGGTTCGAGTTACAGGCTGCCTGGAAGGAAGTGTAGACCGGCGGGTGCAATACCTGGGTCTCTGTACCGGCAACTCATGTGTCTGTCTTGATTCTGTGTGTTTAACCACGTCCCATCGGTGTGGGAGCCGCTCGTGGATTGTGGCGGGGTTTGTCCAATTAATTAGTGCTGTCAGCAACCACTCCGGCAAATTACTGTGCAAACACTATAACCAGAAACTGTCAGTCTACTGTCTTGGTAATATAGTGACTCACATCGACTTTTGAGAACAGCATAGGCAAATGGTCTTTGTAGTTACCGAGGGTGGTTTTTCTTCTATCTCTAGGGTGAATTTGCTGTTTTAAAGCATCCGGTAACATTCATGAAATACATTGTTCCCTGATTTCGTTTGCCAACTTCAGTTATTAAATCATATCCTGGTTTCATTTTTTCAACAGTGACTAATTAGCGGTAATTATTGGTGGTTATAGTAAGGTTAATTTTTGAATTAATTTTGACCAAGCCTAATAATGATTGTTCCCCATATCTCCTACGCTTTCTTGACGCTCTTTTTCCTGAGCATGAGGATGTCTGTTCGTGAAAATACTGTTGCAAATATGAAACGATGATCTGCAAATTCTGACTGTCTTTCTGTAGGATGTAACAATGAACTTGGTTGGATTTATATAGCATGATAGTTTTTTTTCCACTTTCCTAAACTTGGGCGGACAAGTAAATAGCTTACAAATGTTTTGTCCTAGTGAAGTATGCAAGGCCTCAGATCACTTATATGCATTCCTTTGTACTAAGCAGACCTAAAAAAAATCTATAAAATTATGAAATAAAAACTGAAAGAACTGTGGATGCTGGAAATCAAAAACAAAACAGAAATTGCTGGAAAAGCTCAACAGGTTTGGCAGCATCTGGAGAGAAATCAGCACTAACGTTTCAGGTCCAGTGACCCTTCCTCAGAACTGATAGTAGCTACGAAAAAGTTGGATTTCATGCGGAAGATATGGTGGGAGAGGGGCTAAGGAGTAAATGATAGGTGGGGAGAGAGCCCAAGGAGAGAGAAGAACAATTGGACAGACAAAGGAGTGAATAATGATTAGCCTAAGAGAATGAATAGATATTAATGGGGACTATTAGTGGCTAACAATCGGTTGTTTGTAATAATAGACCATGTGATAACAAGGCCTGATGTGTGAGGGTTGGGGTAAGGGCATGGGAGAAGGTGCCTCAAGTCCTAAAATTGTTGATCTTGATATTGAGTCCAGAAAGCTTTAGAGTTCCCAAGTGGAGAATGAGGTAACGTTCTTCCAGCTTATACTGAGCTTTGCCTCAACAAGCCTGAGACAAAGATGTTGGCCGGGTAACAAGGTGGTGTGTTGAAATGGCAGCCAACCAAAAGCTCAGGGTCTTTTTTTGTGGACAGGACGTAGGTGTTCTGTGAAGCAATCACCCAGCCTACGCTTTGTTTCCCCAAATTAGAGGAGACCACATTGTGAGCAGTGAATGTACTAGACTAGATTAAGTGAAATGTGGATAAAGCACTGCTTCACCTGGAAGGTATGTTTGGGTCCTTGGATACTGAGGAGGGAGGAAATAAATGGGCAGGTGTTACACCTTCTGAGGTTGCTGGGGCAGGTGCCATGGGCTGTGGGGAAGTGTTTGGAGTGAAGGGGGAGTGGACTAGGGTGTCCTGGAGGGAATGGTCCTTGCAGAAGGCTGACGTGGGAGGGGATTGGAATATGTCTGGTGTTGGCGTCCCACTGGAGGTGGCAGAAATGGATATAGATGTTGTTGGGATAGTAGGTGGGGGATGGGGTGACCCTAATCACTGTTGTGGAAGGGAAGAGAGGGGTGAGGACTGAAGTTTGGGAGATAGGTCAGACCTGGTGGAGGGCCCTGTCATCTACCGTGCTGGGGAATCCTCAGTTGAGGAAGAACATGGACATTTCAGAGGTCCCCTTGTTGAAGTTGGCATGGTCAGAACAGATGTGATGGAGGAACTGGGAGAATGGAATAGAGTCTTTATAGGAAGCAGGGTGTACAGTCATAGTAACTGTTGTGAGTTGGTCGGTTTATCATAGATATTGATGGCCAAATTCCCAAAAGTAGAAATAGTCTGAGATGGACCGGGTGAAGGTGAGGGCAGGGTGGAAATTGGAAGCGAAATTGATAAACTATTCCAATTTTGGATGAAAGAGGGGAGCAGCACCAATGGTATCATCAATATTCCGGAGAAAGAGTTGTGACTGGGGGCTGGAATTAGACTGGAACCAGGAATGTTCCATGCACCCTACAAAGAAACAGGCATACCAAGGGCCCATGAAGGTACCCATGGCAACCACTCTGACCTGAAAAAAGTAAGAGGAGTTACGAGAAGTTGTGCATAGTGAGGATGAGCTCAGTTCCGGTGGAGGAGGTTGGTGGTGAATGGGGACAGTTCATTCCTTTGTTCCAGGAAGAAGTGGAGAACCCAGTGACCACCCTGATGGGGAATGGACGTGTAAAGGATTGCATGTCCATGGTAGAGAGGAGCCCGCAAACTGGAAATTCTGAAACTGATGTAAAACATCAGAGGAATTGTGGATTTAAGTGAGAAGGGACTGGACAAGGGGAGAAAAAAGTTGAGTTGAGGTAGGAAGAGATGAGTTCTGTGGGGCAGAAGCAGGCAGAAACAATGGTCTGCCCGGGCAGTCCTGTTTGTAGATTTTAAGTAATATAATGAATTTTGGGATTGGCTTGATGTTTATATGTAGTGTAGGTAATGAAACAATTGCAAATGTTAAGGACAGTGTTCAGAGATTCAGTAGATCACCTGATGTTTTGAGTATTTTGCCCTGAAACTTCATCTTTCTGTTTTGGATAAGGAAGTTATCGATTGCACATTTTATGGCACTGTAGTCAGAAGCGGGTCATATAACGTTTTTGAAGGATAATTATTGATGCGTGTTTAGCAGTCATTCCTGAGTTTGGAAATTAATACCATTATTTTTAAAACAAATATACAGAGACATTTGTAGATTAATTGTATGTAAAATGTGAGGTAATCTTGAGAGAATTACATGAACTTTCGTTTTATATAGTGTTTTTAATACAGTGGGAAATTCCCAATCTGCTTTGCAGAGGGGTGTATGAAGCAAGCTGACTAGTCAAATATTGAGATATGATGATGTGGGAAAATAAACAAAGGATTTATGGAAGTTTGTGAAATTACAAAAAAGTGAAATGGAATGCACTGCAGGTTGTTAAAGACAGAAAAAACCTAGATAAGCAAAAATGAGTGCATTGAACGAGGGCACTGGATTTCTGACCAAATTGGAGTTCATATGAAGTAGAGCTTGAGAGGTTGACCAGTTTTGAGGCAGACTCGTCTGGAGATGATAAATACATAGATGAATGTTGTAGGTGAAATATGTGCAGATAAGAATTTTTATCAGCATGTCAGAACATTGAATTTCAAGCATGCTTGTCAGACTCAGACTCAACCTCACCACCTTCCAATGTACAATTCCTTCCCTCACCCAGATTAGATCTGTTTGAGCCTCAGACCACCTCTTCTATCTACCAGAATGTTAGACTTGCATTCCAGGAAATGTGGCCGAGCTGTATGTACCTTTTTTCCCCCTCTTTAGCATATAAAGGTTGTGCAGCACTTCCATTTTTAATCCAACTTCCTAATTTTCAAAATTCACTTCCCTAGTGCCTTGAAGCTTTTACCACAATAAACAATTTGAATGGAGTAATTTTGTCAATACACTGCAGGATCTCGGGGACTTCATATGAATCTCAATTGCTGTCTTACAAAAAAAACTTCTTTAAACTTTCCTTAACAGTTTTGGTTTCTGATAAGTGATTATGCCTTTTATCTTACTTTGTTGACAATAGTTCACATGTAATATCTTTAAAAGTAGGTGACAACCTCACCAGAACAAGACAGGGATTGATTGTACAGCTTCAAATGACAATCCTACTTTTTGATATCATGCAAAATACTTGACATATTTGTATTTTTCATATTTTCCATGCTGATCATGTAGTTGATCCCATTCTTGACAAACACAATTAATGACTGCTTTGGTTGATATACTGTCCTTGATTTTGTTCCTTGCTTTGATACTGCTTTACTTTTATCTGTATTAAATGCAGTTTGTGTCATTGTTACATAGCAACAGGAGTAGACCATTCAGCTCCTTGAGCCTGATCCACTATTCTAGACCATGCCTGATCATCTACATCCATGCCCATATTCCTGTGCCACCCCCATATCCTTTGATGTCAGCAGTAACTAGAAATCTGTTAATCTGTCTGGAAATTAATGATTAAGCTTCAAAAGTCCTCGGGAGCAGAGAATCCCAAGTTCCACCACCCCCTGACTGAAGATGTTCCTCCTTATCTCTGTCTGAAATGGCTTGCTTTTTATTCTGAGACTGTGTTCCTGGTTCCACACCCCATAACCAGGGACAACATCCTTTCTGTATCTACTGACCCTGTACTGTAAGGAACCATATATTTTCTTTGTAGCTTTGAACTGAAATGAAAGTTCCACTGCTATATAGCTGAAATACGGAAATGTTTTGTAACTTGAAAAATCAAACCTTGCACCTTTTTAGCTGTGCAATACT